CTTACTCTCTTTCCCTGGTTCACACCCCAGTAGCCACGTTCCCCTCCCCCCCTCCCCAGGCGTCCCCACGGCCCGCACCAGTGGAAGTTGGGGCGGAGTCGGACTCGGGATAGGAAACCTGGGCCTGAGGGCAGGGAGGGCGGGGGGCTGGGGAAGGAGACACGCAGTTGGGGGGCGGAGGCCTAAGTACATAACGCGCTGCCTTCGAGTGAAATCAGATCAGTCGAGAGGTTCTGGGTGACTGGTCTGTCTCCCTTTCCCTCCCCATTGCTTTGGGCTGGACTGGACTCTGGGGTTCGCTCAGGTCGTCTTGGACACTCCCTTTGTCCTTTCCCAGGAGTGCAGCGTCTTCGGGCGCCTAGCCCTGGCGGACACGGACCCCAGACGCTTCGATTCCTCTCTTCGCCAGGTCCACGCGGCCCAGCCTGATCATGTTGGACGGCCTGAAGATGGAGGAGAACTTCCAAAGCGCCATCGAGACCTCTGCCTCCTTCTCCTCGCTGTTGGGTGAGCGTTCAGGCCGGGCGCCCCAGGCGCACCCTTTTTCTGCCAGGCATTTGGAGGCCAGGGAGCCCTGCTCCCTGCCTGCTCCCTGGCCTCTGGGCGGCGGTGGGGGAGCTGGAGTTTCCTTTCCTGCATCCAGTTGAGCCCCTTCTTTGCGGTCTGTCAATTCGTCCCCGTGGGTTAGCTTTTCCACCCCAAACCAACAAGCCTTTCAGTCCATAAGTGTCCCGCACCTTAGTCCCAAAGCCTCGAAGGGTCGGCGGGATTGTTTGCAGGCGTTGGAGTGGCACATGATTAAAAAGTCCCAAGACTGGGATTTTAATCACAGAGCTGACAGACGTCTGATAAATGCCTCCCTCTTCTGGGCAGCCCAAGGACAGGGATCCGAGACCCCAGGCCTTTTGAGCTCCCAAGTTCGAAGCAGTTTCACGTCTTCACCAAGGCAGCCCCCGCCTCACCTTCCAGCACACAGGCTAGGCTTTTCCAGGCCGGCGGGCAGCGCCGCGAGGGGATTAGCTCCCGCGGCGGGGCTCTGCCGCATCTTTAATTAACTGGAGCTGGATCCCGGGTTCGGCGGGTCCCCTAGTCCCCAAACCCTTTCTTAGCGATGTACCAAAGACCACAGCAGTGTCCTCTCGAGTCTCCCAGAGCTGGAGCCAAAGATTATTGCTGCGAGCGGTTCCTCCTCCGCCCCTTTTCGTCTTTAGTGAAGATTTGCAGCCTCCGAAACCTTACCTAGGGTCGCTATGAGTCGGAATCGACTCAATGGCTGTGGGTGTTGGGTTTGGTGCTTGCAAACCTGGGGAATGGGTGTTTCCTTTTTATTTCATTTTTGTAGACGGAGGGATTTTCGTTTTGTCACTTTAACCTCTTTCCTTCACTCTCAATTGCGCGAGTGGGGTGAAATCGTAGGACTAGACAGTCCAGTCGGAGAAATCACAACCGGGAAGCACTCTCCCACCACTTACCCCAGATGAAAAGACAAGAAAGCATTCTACTCTCCCCTCTTTCAGCTCTCCCAACTGGAAAGTCCACACTGTCCAGCCTGTGACGGGTGCGGGGCCAAGAGAAGGCGCTGCCAGGGCGCCCGCAAAGAGCGCCCTAACAGGCACACTGACGGCGGGCGTGTGCTCGGCTGGCCTGCATTCCAACCCATGTCCTCACCCAGCGCCAGGACACCCAGACAGGCAGAAAGGAAAGGAGGTTTTGAGATTAAGAGTGCTCTCACTCTTAAATGTTAAAAGAGTTTTCCCGAATTATAGCCTTGCCTATGCCCCTAAACCTCTAGCCCAGCTCTGGACCCTGACCTCCAGAGGAAAATGTAGCTGAGAAACGGGGAGGGACTGAGACCCTTTGGGAAACCACGCTGAAGAATTCGGTACCAGGGATAAGATCTTCCTTAAACAGTTGTGAAATGTGCCTGCACAGGCGGCCTAGTCCCCTCTCAAAAAAGAAAGAAAGAACACACACACACATACACACACACACACACACACACACACACACACACACCCCTTATCTCCCAAACCAAAGGAACGCAGCTGATAAAAATTCGAAGAGTTAGACAGAGGATTCCCTGTTTTCACTGAGCCTATTTGGGATCAACTGCACCCTAAGCTGAGAATCTTGCCTGGGACCCTACAGGCATATCTGGGCCCTAAACTCCCTTCTCTTCCTTTTCTTTCCCTTATCTGGGTATCTCTTAATTATGACGAAGACACAAAAGAAACCATTTGCTTTTGGCCTTTCAGCCAAGTCACAGCAGTTTGGAGTCCACTGGTTTCAACAACATTGGGTTTGCTTTGGAAGAGATGGTTACGATTTTTCCTTAGGATCAGGACTTTTTAGAAGAACTATATCTATTCGTTACCCCTAAGAAAAATTAGCACAAACAATGAATTTTAACAGAAGAAACAAAAAGTCGTTTTACTCGCAATTTAAAAAATAGCAGAGACAAGCGTAACGAGTGATTTAACTACGAATGCCGGTGTGATAAACTTGGGAGCGCTTTTGCAGTCTTAATTTTACCCGGTGCACGCACGTTTGCGCGCTTACCTGGAATGCTTGATCATTAAAGACCACTCCGTGATTTCCGCTCCCTCTCCCGCGGTGACTCCAATCTTTCCTACCACATCCCCGTTCATTGGAAACGTCCCTGGGTTTGATTTCTCTCTGCTCTCCAAGTCTTGGCGTGCTTGCTGATCTGGGGACTCCTGGAGGAGGGAGGCGGGCGAGGCGGGGGAGGAGGCTCAGGGCCCTGAAGGTGTGGTGGCTCCAGCGGGGTCCGGTTCACCGCGGGCGTCTTCTTGTTGGCTGCAGGAAGAGCGGTGAGCCCCAAGTCCGTCTGCGAGGGCTGTCAGCGCGTCATCTCGGACAGGTTTCTGCTGCGGCTCAACGACAGCTTCTGGCATGAGCAGTGCGTGCAGTGCGCCTCGTGCAAAGAGCCCCTGGAGACCACCTGCTTCTACCGGGACAAGAAGCTCTACTGCAAGTACGACTACGAGAAGTAAGTGGCCGCGCCGCGGGAGCGGGTCGGCACGCTCTGCGTTGGCATCCGCGTGCGCCCGTGACTTTCCATTTGCTCACCCACACCCGCCTTGGAAGGCGCCGGAAGCACCGCACACCTTCTCAGAGAAGCAGAGCGTCCTCACTCTCTGGCTCACCCAGCGCCCCTACGGCCCCAGCCCTGTAGAAGCGCTCGCGCGCTGCGCTCCAGAGTCCGCCCTTCTGCTTTTCAGCCCACCAGCCCCCTGCCCCCGACCCAGCCCTTCCCAGAGACCCTACTGGGGGGGGCCGGGGCGACCCTTTCAAGCTTCCATCCCCACCCCATCCCAACCCCGCTCCCTAGAGTGTCCTGCGAATGCCCAGGGGCCGTGTCTCTCTCCACGCGTGTGCGGGACCGCGAGGCTGTGTGGGTCGTAAGGTTTGGGCTCCCTGCGCAGGGTTCACGCCAGGCTTTGCAGAGCCTGGTGCAGACTGAGGCCTCTTGGAAATGGCGCCGCCGGCCCTTTCTCCCGAGCTCCAAGAAAACCAGTGTGGCCCTCCCGCTCACATCAAAGCGGGGCTACCTTCCCAGCCCCCTGTTTTTCCAAAGCCCTGGCGCACAGGGACTCTATTCTGCAGTGTGCACGCTCTGTCAGGCCTGCAGTGTGCCACTCAGCAGGTTCGGTTCCCCGGCTCCACGCACTAGCGTGGTCTTAAGAATGGGAGGCAGGTCTGGGCGCCCTTTGAGCAATCGAGGTTTCTGCTGTGCGTAAAGCCTGCAAGAGTTGAGGGGATTTCCTAGTTCACCACAGGGAAGCCTCGGAGGAAGTCGGGCTGTAAGAAGAAGGAATGGCTTTTCCTTGCGGAAAATGGCTAATTAGAGACTTTGCTTTCTCCAGGCCCTGGAGGGAATTGAAGGAAAGAAAAGTGGCCAAAGCAAAGGCTTCTCCTTTGCTCTAACAGGATTGGGCTGTGTGATGTGCGCGCCTGCACCGGCAGGGGCTTCTGCATTTGTCGCGGGGGAATAAAAGGGACAGCTCACAGCTCGCCGTAAGGATCATCAAGGGAGGTTTAACTCAGAGTAACGAGAGAGAGAGAGAGAGAGAGAGAGAAGCTTCTTTACATGTTATTAAAAACGCACAATAAAGGGAGGGGTGTGCGGGAGGAGCGTCTATCCGACAAAAATTCCAAGGAAGAACACAGCTACCTTCTTTTCCCTATTGCCTGAGCTAGGAGGTTTACCCAAACCGATGGAACGAATTGACCTAGTGAGCACACACAGGAAAGCCCTTTCTATTCCTCAGGGGTGGCGCGCTTCCACGGGATGACTGACTATTTCCCCACCTCAGCTGTGGGAAAACTACAGGTAACTTCTGTTTTCCTTGCTTTGAAAGGATAAGAACTTGAGGTTTCCAGAATATTTTAAAAATGCGTGCTCAATGAAAAAAAATGCGTGCTCAATTTTGGACTGCTTGACAATCCACGGAAAACTCCACAGGACCCCTTCACAAAGTGATCAGGATGAAAAACCCATGATCGCTGTGAAAAAAGTTGTCAGCCTCTGATCTTGGCTAGCTGTTTATCAACACAGTATCTGAGTGAAACCGAACTTTGTGGGGACTTGGCCAGATTTTGCCTACACATTTTCAAGTGTCACGCTTAGATCAAGTGTCTCCCACGAAGGTTTTGGTATTGTCCGGGCCCAATCTTGATCTTTCTGCTTATACACGACTGAAATGTCCACATCCTCCAGGCACAACACTAGCACATTCAAACGTACTGGAGCTTAGGGAAGGATTTGGGTTGTGAATTTCTATTCTGTTTGTTAAGGAAAAAAAAAAAGTCGCCAATCAAAGAAGGCTTAAGGGTCAACACAGCTGTCTGGCCAGTCAAATCTTCTTTAAGGAAGTCAGGCTATGTCAAGTGGAGAAGAAACAGTTGTTGTAAAGTACTTAACACAACAATGCCCCTTCCATTCCAGCCCTCCCAGTTCTTCTTCAGGCTTTGGGCTTATTAGACCAGCAGGGTCAGTTCTCCCGCACAAAGCTATTTCTGCAAAGAGAAAATTACCCGGATCAACTTGCCAGCTGTTGGCCAGAACGGAGGAGATTTTACACAGGGCGATGGGATGGGCTACATCAGCCAGAGAGGTGTAGCTGTTCTGAAGGTTTACATTTTAATTCTTAGATGTTTTCTGGAAACACAAATGTCCAGATCAAGTCAATGGTACTCTATCAAGCTCAGGGCACAGTGTCAGCACCAGTCTGTACTCAGCCGCCTCAACTGTCTTTTTAGATAATTCTTGTCTCTTTTCTATTTCCTCCACCCTGATCTCAATCTTCTTCCAACGAAAACTGGCTCTGCTATATTTCATATTCCTGATGGTCTTGGTTTATGTGATCATGGCTGTAGGAGAGAAGCTGGAAGCTTTGTGTTGTTTGTTTTTTAATTAGGCTCAGGCCGATCCTTTCATCACCATGTCTTTTTATTGAGCACTGGGCTAGGACCTGCGGAAAGGGTTGGAAGCCTGCCTTCAGGAGGCATATCACCTGGTACTTCGTCATCTGTGGGACTTACCCGAACCATGATGTCATATGCAAAAACCTCTTCTATTTGGAGGGCAGGCCAGGCATGAAACAGAATGATTCAAAATGACTGGATCAAACAAAACAAACAACTGCCCCCCCCAGCCCCCCGCCCCAAAGGACCAGATCTTCGTTACCCAGTGGAGACAACTCAGTTTTGGACACTGAAACAAATACAGGGTGTCAGATGTGGGCAGATAGCATAGATAACTTTTTTTCTCCAACAATTGTTTGTAAAAATAGTCTGCTTGCTACGGTGGTTCCTTCTTAAAATCTCAGGCTTGGGTGGATGTTCCGTGGTAGGACCATGACAAAGATAAGTGATAAAGCCATGACTAAATCATGATTACTTGGGCAATGCCCTGGCTCCCCAAATTGACACAGTGCAAGTGCTATTTCTGCACATTTAAGCGAAATTCTAGATAGCCAGCATCTAGCTTTCTGTGAAGGTCACAAATATCGCCGCCATAACCAAGAGGGTTTCTCTACCGACTGTTGTCCTTTGGACATGCTTCTCCAGCTGATGGTAGGTTTTGCATTTGGATTATTATCTACTTGACTGAGGTGTCAGACAGTCCATTCAAAAGTGGACACCCCAGCCTATCAGCTCTTGTAAAGCCGGTGAAAGCCAGAGCCTGTCTGTGTAAAGTGGAAACCTGCCAGAGAAGGAAAACTCAAGTGTTTTCCAGCACAGTGAGGGATAGAACAACTGCACCCTGTCAAAGGCAGTAACCTTTTGAGACCCGGAAAAACAAGGCCTTCCTGTTGAGTTCTGGCTCTTACAGGGTTCCTTGTGGTTGGCACATCTCCATGATGTTTCATTTTAAAGAAAATTGAGTTGAAAGTGGCCTCATGAACAAGGCCATTTTTCAAAGGCTTTTGGGATGTGTTAATCAATATTCAACTCAGACACTAGATTGCTTAGGGAATGACTTATCTTCTGATCACCCAAAGCAAAGAAACATTTAAGGCTGCACTATATAAAACAGCAGCAAAAACTGACTTATGAACACTCAGAACTTAAGAACTAGAGATGCTCTTCATTGCCCATGGAATGTTATTATTATGATTTTTTAATTAGCTGTGTAGCTCGGTAGGATTTTAGCATTTACAAAATAGATACAGCTGAATTATACCATCTAAAACACTTTAGGATGTGATAGGTAGGCATAGGCATCTGAAACCTGGTTAGCAGAATATTTATCTGTATTTCTAGTCCAGGGGACTTCTATTTATGTGACTGTTGTTCCCTATTGAACCAAGTTCTCTCAGATCTTGTTACTTTTGAATGTCCCCTGAATTTGTTCCAAACAAATACTGCAATTGGACATTAAGTCAGATGGAGACAGAAGAGGCTGCTGAAGAACAGGAATGTGGTAATACAATAGATAATTAAGCCTTCTGGAAAGGATCCCACATTTAAATCAAGTTTATATTGTTTCTTTCAAGTGCCTGGCAGCTCGGTGAGTTAGGGGGGGCCATCCCATCGCATATGAAGTTTATCATGATCCCTTCGATTGCTCTGGGCATCCTAGGCGCAGTGTGGGATAGTATTGCTGTCATCGGGGCCATTCTCACAACATCCTAACTCCCCACATGTCAGCACCTCCCAGGCCTTGGGAAACCTGGCCTCAGAGGGCTGGTGGAGGCTCTCTCCCCTTGCCCTGGTCTCTTGAAGCTGGCCTGTTTTCTTTGGGAAGAAAGGGGCTGAAAGGGAGGAAAGAGGGCGGACACAGCCTCTCGCTTTCTTCCCCACCGCTGATTGGCAGCCCCTTGGTGAACAAGGCCGAGGTAATGATCTCCATAGGCTCTGTAATGAACTCGTTCTGCATTTCATCAGGACAGTACAGGATGTGTGTCTGGCCGAGAGCTAGCTTGGTTTTATTATGGTGACATGACTTGGAGATCAAAACCGGAGCACGCAGTTGCTCGTAAAAGGAGCTCACAGATGAAATTACAGAGGTGATAGTTACATTTTTCTTGCCCTTATCTGTGGCGGGACCCAATTTGCGAGGTAACAAACAGATGTTTGCTTCAAACTGCAGAAGTCAGGGGTGGGGTGGTGTGGTGGGGGCGGGCTGCTTAGCTCGGGCTCAGTGCAGGTGCCTCGGCTATGGTGGTGTTAGCACAGAAAACCTCTCTCTCTCCAAAATTTCGTTTTGTTTTCTAGTTGCTTGTTGAGGGTGGTTGGAAGCATTCTTTCCTTGAGGTGTGTTCCCGTTTTGTGTGACTTGGTCCTGGGGTGGGGCTTTCTTGGAATCTCTTCTTTAGAAATTTGATGTTAAAATAGATCACACAAGTAGACCGTAAGCGATTCTGGGAACTAGATATGAACATTGCCTTTTGAGGCTTGTGGGGAGTCATTCAATCTTTATAGGCACGTGAAGAGGTTATTTATGCATCTAGCTGGCCATCATGCGGCGTCCTGCAAGTCTTG